ACGCCTTCAATCCCAGCTCTCAGGAGGCAAAGGCAGGTGGATCTCTGTGTTCGAGGCCAGCCTGGTTGACAGAGCAAGTTCCAGCAAAAAACCCTAGAGGGGAGAGAGAGAGAGAGAGAGGGAGAGAGAGAGAGGGAGGGAGAGAGGGAGGGAGCTTCTAATACACACCAGAAAAAGTTTCGACCTGTGCTCTGCTTGTTCTGCTGAGCTTTGTCTAAATGAACCTTTAGGAGCTGACTGCCATGCATTCACATGGAGTATCCACAGTTTCACTTGGGAAGAAAAGTCCCCAAGGATGGTGTCATGTACAGCTGCCAGGGTGCAGCTTTTGGTGCTTTTGCTTATTTTTTTGTACAGCTTTTCTGAGTTGGCTTGGGCAGAATCTTCTTTGAGCAGTAAAGACTGCATGCTTGCCACTAAACTTTTTCTCTAATTCATGAACCAGCCAGACTTGGATTTTCTGGAAAGATTTCTGCTGAGAAACTGGTGCTAAAATAAGGATTGCTTTCTGACCATCACCAGCTTCAGTTTCCTTGCCTGTGGTGGGTGATACTGAGTTTCCAAGCTGTGCCTTGAGATCTTGAGTTCATCTCCAGCTCAAGCAGTGCATGAGAGATGCTAGACTCCAAGTCATCTGTCTTCTTGTGGTCATCAGGCTTCCTAGTCTTGGTGCTTGAGCTGATCATGGCCTTCTCCTGAAAGGAGGAAAGTACCACTGGTCATATGGGTCGTGGGCTGCATTTTCAGGTCATTGACAGGCACAGACCGAATATTCCACCACATCGCTAACGAGAGCACAGAGCCTCGGAGGTCCATCCTCCTAAACTACAAAGAACAAGAAATTGTGTTAATAAAATTCTAAGATGTTTATATTGTAAATCTAAAAAAATAAATTATTTCTTTTGTAATGTTGGGGATCAAAGTCAGCAGAACCTTATAAGCTAGGTAAGTACTTTTTTACTCAGGTATTGTTCCAGACACTGATATTACTTTTTGATTTTTTTGGTGCTTGCATCAAATCTGGCATCTTACACAAACTAATATAGGACTCTACTCCTGAGCCATATACCCACCCAAAACCTGAATGTTTTTTAACTTAATTTGTTCATCAGCTTGTATTATCACATTTGAAGTTTATGAAGGGAAATTATAATCATGAGCCACTTATTAATGGGATAAGTTCTGAGAAGTGCATCATTTGGCAGTTTGTTTTTTTGTGTGACTTTTTGATGAGAAATCTTGTTTGTTCCCAGCTGCTCAGCCAAAAAATAATCACACAGAAACCATATTATTTGCAATACTGTTTGGCCAATAGCTTAAGCATATTTCTGGCTAACTCATCTTAAATTAACCCATCTCCATTAATCTGTGTATTGCCACAAGGCTGTGGCTTACCAGGTAAAGTTCCGGCATCTCCTGTGGGGCTGTATGGCTTCTCTCTGACTCTGCCCTTCTTTCTCCCAGCATTCAGTTTTTCCCACCTAGCTCTGTTCTACTCTATCAGGCCAAGCCAATTTCTTTATTAATCAATGGTATTCACAGCATGTGGAGGAGAATCCCACATCATGTGACCATCATAGAATGCACTTCACAAACCTTGGTAAAAGAACTTTGTGTATGTCTAGGCTCTATAACACTGCTGGATGTTCTTTTGTTGACTGCAATGGGGTTTCATCCTGTGGATTGTGGCCCCTTCGGGGTTTGAATGACCCTTTTATTGGGGTCGTTTAAGACCATTGGAAAACAAAGATATTTATATTACAATTCATAACAGTGGCAAAATTGCAGTTATAAAGTAACAACGAAAACAATTTTCTGGTTGGGGTTTGCCACAGTTTGAGGTATTGTATTAAAGGGTGGCAGAATTAGGAAGGTGGAAAACCACTGTTATATGGTATGAATGATAGAGGTGAAATTCGTGAGCCAGTAATTTCATCAAAGTAGAGGTGACATTGAAAAATAGACTACATGGAATGATTTTTTTTTTGTCCAGATTTCTTTAGATAGTCTGTAGTGTCCTGGAACTTGCTCAATAGAAAAGGATGGCCTCAAACTCAGATATGCCTGCCTCTACTAAGTGCTGGGATTAAAGGCTCGTGTCACCACTGACCACCAGAATGGTTTCTTAGAACTTTAATATAAATGACTAACTTTTATATTAATTTTATAACTCCTACTCTCTTCTGTGTTGACTAATTACCAAACTTTTAAAGCCGAAGACAATACAATACTATGTATATGTATATTAGTTGTGTGAGCAGTTGTTATACCGTGCATATGTTAATTTAATTATAAAACTTCTTTTTGTAACATATTGGCTTTTTTAAAAAGGAACTTTTCTTGTTCCATAGGATCTACCTCAGACCCTGGAAGTAAAAGCAGATCTGAATTATTTTATACCTTAAATGGGTCATCTGTTGACTCACAACCACAAACCAAATCCAAAAATTCATGCGATATTGATGAAGGTAATCTATAATTTTAGTCCTCTTTATAATGGTACCCTCTGTTTAATATGTAAGGGGAAATGACTTTTTCATCAATATTTGTTAATTTTGGAAACAGTGAATAGATCATAGCTAATATGACAATATTGCTGAACTAAAATATTAAACATAGTTTGAACTACACTGTTATTAGGGTTGAGGATACATTTGAAATATGTTAGTAGTCTGGGTTTTGTTTTGCTTTGTTTTTTTTTTACCCGAGACAGGGTTTCTCTGTATAAAAAGTCCTTGCTGTCCTAGAACTTGCTCTGTTGACCAGACCGGCCTCGAACTCACAGAGACTCACCTGCTTCTGGTTCCTGAGTGTTGAGATTAAAAGTGTACACCACTATGCCCAGCAGTTTGTTCTTATCTCTTAATACATCTGCTTAGGATCAACTGTTTTTAGAAATGAAGTGACTCATTTAAAGACTTGCCTATCTTATTTTCTTTAAAACACACTACCTTCCTTGTTTCCTAGATATCATTCTCCTTTCATGGATTTATTTCCTTCATCTGTGTAGGTTAATTACCTGGAAATCCTTCTAGTTCCTCCAGTTCAATGGTCTGGCTGACTGCTCTTCACCTCTTAAACTGAAACCTTTCCTCCCGCTGTACTCACTCACTCTCTTAGGTTAGGTTAAGTGTCCCTGAAGTGGTTTTGGTTTTTTGCCTGTATTTTCTATAAGTTCCTAGTGCTTCTACAGTGCTTTGTATTCAGTAGATTCAGTAAACTAAATGAAAATATAGTGTTCTAAGTCTCTAGGATGACTGCTTATGACATGGATTCAGTTATAAGCTAAAACACACAGTACAATCTACAGTTGCATACTATAGGTTACATATATACTCACACAGAAAGTGACCTGAGTGGGTATTTGCCACATCTGATTCTCGCACTGAGTGGGGTTTTGTGAGCATAGGCAAAATGACCTGCCTCTCTCAAGAATTCATCCTGGGCCGGAGAGATGGCTAGAGATTAAGAGCACTGACTGTTCTTCCAGAGGTTATTTAGAATTATTATTTAATTTTTATATCTCTTCATACTAATTTCTAACTTAATCATATTATGGGAAAGAATATAATCCATGTGATACTGACTAGACTTAGATGACCAATGCCAGATTACTGAGACAGGAAACTGTGGAGGTCGAGAAGAGGAGCAAGAACATTATTCAGAGCCAATGAGTTTACAGTGCTTTCAAGCAGGCTTGCAAAGGGATCATGTGATCAGTTAGACTAGAACTTTGTATTGTTTTTAGAAGATGCATTCATATTTAATGTTCTTGAACAGCCTTTTCTAATTAAGGACAATTTTTCATAGTTGCAGAAGACCCTGCAAAATCACTAACAGAGCTGTCTCCAGACTTTGGACATTCATCACCTCCACCACAACCTCCTTCCATGAACTCCTTATCCAGCGAGAACAGATTGCACTCTCTACCGTTCAGCCTGACCAAGATGCCCAATACTAAGGGCCGCATTGCTCACAGCCCACTGTCACTGTCAGTGCAGTCTGTGACGGGCGAGCTGAACAGCACGCCTGTCCAGGAGAGTCCACCTTTGCCCATCTCTTCTGGTAATGCATACGGCCTAGAGGTGGGCTCACTGGCTGAAGTGAAAAAGAATCCCCCATTCTATGGGGTTATCCGTTGGATTGGCCAGCCGCCTGGGCTCCGTCACGTGCTAGCTGGGCTGGAACTGGTAATTTATTTTGGCTTGAAATCTACAACTTTTCTTCATGGGTTTTAAAACTAGGTTTTCCTCTATTAGATAATTTCTTGGGAAGTTATTTTTTTCTCAAAAAAAAAATTCAGTAGTAGAGGAAATATAGTAGTGCTTACCTTCACCCTTTGCCATCGCTAAGGCTTCTCACCCACTTATTCCTCATGTTTGTTTGTGATCAAGGAATAGATTGATTTTTAGGCTAGAACATGTAGTCTCCACATACAAACAGAATGCAGCAAAGAAAGCAGTTCAGTGACCAGTTCTCCTTCTTATTCTTTAGCCTCCTCCCATTGCAGTCAGTTCAGGGATGTGACTGACTTTAAAATTAATCATGTTTGGAGTCTTTGGGAGAGGGGAAGGTTTTATTTTTGGCTCTAAAAAAAGTATATTGTGTGATATTTCATAACCAGGAGGGAGAATTTGAATAAATTTAGCTATTGCCTAAATATAGTTTTTAACTTTTTTTTACTTGTCTTCTTGCTGTTGAGGAACTAGGTAATTTATCTACTCCTGCCCCTTGATTTTAATACTTTTGAAATGGCTCAGGGAAACTCAGTAAACCAAGGAAGTTCTAAGCATGTATTTTGAAAGGAAATGCATCAAATACTTCCCGGAGGGCTAAAGAATTATTTTCTTAAACCACCAGCTGAGGGCCAAAGCACCAGTTAGTCAGTCCCTTTTCCTTCTTGCTGATCTGTTCAGAAAAGATTTGAAAGAGAAATTCAGAAAAAGTGAAAACTCCATAGCTCTTCCCGGTGTAACACATACCAAAACCTTTCTTTTTCAGGAGGATGAATGTGCGGGCTGTACAGATGGCACGTTCAGGGGCACGCGCTATTTCACCTGCGACGTGAAGAAGGCTCTGTTTGTGAAATTGAAGAGCTGCAGACCGGACTCTAGGTTTGAGTTTCTGGAGCCTGTTTATAATCAGATTGAAAGGTGTAATTCTTTAGGTAATTGGATACTTTTAATTTATTTACCCATCTGGAATGACTGTTTCTTGCTACATTTTAGCATCTGAGGGTGACAGTGTTTAAATGTTTTATTTACTTGCCAGTGTTCATCAAGTTTCGAAGTTGGTAAAGATTCTTACTTGGTGCATAAGAGAGTTGTCCTAAGAGGAGATATGTTGAAAGAAGAGTTAGGAAAAGTGTTTAGGGTCTAAAGACTGAAAGGTGGTGTTTTTTCTTCTCTTTTATTGATTATAGACATTAAATTTTTGGCAGTGTGGGTGGTAGAAATGAAAATGTGGTCCCTTTAGCAATAACTTCCCCATCCGCATCTTTTTAAGTACCTCATTTCGGATGTCCTTATGAAGAAATCTGATACAGTCTGGGGATGCAGTTGGCTTGACAGATGGAGGACAATTCTTCTCATTGTCACTAGCTTGCTGATGCTGGCCTTTCCCTTAACAATACTGAGAGTCAAGCAGGGGGAAATAGGGAAAACATCTTTATGAAAAACATTTTTCTTAATGTTGAAGAGTATTTTGGAAACTTGTTTCTTTTTATACTTGAAAATGAAACATTTTGGACAAGTAACAAAATATTCTTTGACAGATGCTTAATTGACTTAATTTTCTAAACTCTATATGACAGGAATGATGTTGAAAGTGAATAATTGAATTTTTATAAGTCCAGATAAATATCAGTAAACTAAAGTAAAAAAATGCAGAAGATGCCAAAATATACTTTAAATGATATATATATATACATGCATATGAATATATACTGTCATGATTTAAAAGATTATTTTTATTTTTTATCTTTTCAGTATTTGGAGGCTACTTAAGTGAAGTAGTAGAAGAAAATACTCCACCAAAGACGGAAAAAGAAGGTTTAGAGATAATGATTGGAAAGAAGAAAGGCATCCAGGGCTATTACAATTCTTGTTACTTGGACTCAACTTTATTCAGGTAAGTTCCTATTTTCTGCAGTAAGTGTAAATAGTGCTGTGTGGGGGAGAGGGGAGACAGGTATGTGTGTGTGTGTATATGGAAGAAGGTGCCAGTTGCCTTTGAGTAGAGAAACTGACAGAGTTAGGAAAGATCATGAGATTTGGTCCTTAGTGACTAAAGAATTTCATATCCTATTCCTAGATCCAAAGCACTAATATAAAAATACTGCAGTGAATAATGAGTGAACAGATACTCTGAGGACATCTGCCTCCAGTGTAGATGATGGCACGTGTGCCAAGTAACCTGCAGCAAGCTATTGGCATTGCGTGCTGCGTGGGTTCTGGAATCTCGAGATGATCATAAAAATTCTTAATATTAAAAATTACTTTCCATGGGATCACTGTTGCCCTCCTTTGTGTAGTTTTCCCTAAAGTGGATCAAGTTGAACAGCAAGGATCATTAGGCTATGAAGATTGCATCTATAGCCGTAAGGGTTGTGCACTGCCAGTGAAGTGGATCTGCCACTCGGTAGGCTGTGCCACAAGAGTTAGGAAGTTAGTGTGGAAGTTAGAATTTTAAAGGAGAGAGCACAATAAAGGTGGGTCTTGTCGTTGCTGGAATACTTTTGATTAAACAAACAAGCAAGCATTACTATAATATTCCTTAGATTTGCTGATAAAAATTTATTTTAACTAAATTTATTTTCTTTGATACCAGCAAATTTTTATTGCTAATCACTCACAAGTTATTATAAGGAAATGCCTATCTGATGATAATGAAATGAAGTTGTCCTGACTAGTCTGATCTGGTCTTGACCAGTCTCTGACTTTCTCCCTATGTTGTCTGTGTGTGTGTGACCGATTTCTAGGCCTCTCTTGGTTTATGTAAACAAGCTTCTTTCATAATGTTCTCTGGCGTGTTTTCAACCTTCACGTGTATGGTGCAGTCTTGGTGTTTCTGGTCCGGATCTGCAGGGTCTCCGGGTACTGAGCACAGGGCCTGTGTGGTCTGTCCATGAGTTCTTAGGCCAGTGGTTCCCTACACTTTATCCCTTTGCCTCTTCCTACTCCTTTAAGAATCTTTCTCAAATTTTATTCTTTTTATAACATGAGGAAAATATTCTTTTATTTTGCAGCTTATTTGCTTTTAGTTCTGTCCTGGATACTGTGTTGCTCAGACCCAAGGAAAAGAATGATGTGGAGTATTATAGTGAGACCCAGGAGCTACTGAGGACAGCAATAGTCAATCCTCTGAGAATGTAAGTAGAAGACATGTGTTTTGTCTTTAGTTGGTGTTCTGTTTACTGTTTTCTTGTATAGTAATTAATTTATGCTCTGTACTCATGTAGTAAAAAAAAAAGAAGTTAGTTCTCATGAAATACTGACTTTTTAAAACCTTTGTTTTTTGTCCTCTGTTTATGTGTGTTTTAGTCTGGGCAGTGCATTCTGTAAAATGATGGGACTCATTTGGAGTCATGCACTACAAATTTATCCCTTTGCCTCTTTGTCTAGTACATGACATTGCACTAGAAACAAGTGAGGTATATTAAAGTGACATGGTGTTTTGTTTATTTAAAAGAATTTCTTTAGGTCTTCTTTTACTCCTTTACTAAGGTAGTTGTAAATGTGCAGAAGACCATGTAAGAAGACTTTGATACATGATGCTGATGTGTGATGACTTCACAAGGCGTTTATGTGATGAAGAGTTAGATTATCCAGTGATCAGGAAACAGATAGCTCAGGGACATAGAGAACAAACTATGCAATTTAAAGTCCAACTGTGATCAATTTAAACTTTGTGGTACACTTTTCTTAACAGTGAAAATAAAAATTAACGTAATATATTTAAAAATAACAAAATATGAAACTATAAGGAGTATTCCAAACGACGTACTGTGTCACATAGCTAAGAAAGTAAATTAAAAGTGAAACAAATTTCTCTAGATACTTGTTTGCCTTACTTTTCTAATCATCTTATCCTTTAATTATGTGCTTTGATTTTAATATTAATTATTTTGTCTTACACAAATTTTAAACTCTCAGATTTTTCTTTCCCTATGTAAATGACACTAGAACAGCACAGGTCAAATCTTAACTACAAGGCATATTATCACAACCTTCCTTCTTTTTAAAATACTGTCAATCCATCAGTAAACGTTTTTTGCATACGATTGCCCAACTAGTCCAGAATCATAGTTATTCTAATTTTGTCACCAGTCTATAGAAAACACTTGTTGCATGGCCTATGAGACCAAGGTGCGTCTTGTCAGGCATGGTGGGATATACCTGTAATCCCAGCACTTGATAGCTCAAGAGGCTAAGGCAAGATCAGTAGTTCAGAAATTTGAGATATATTTCTTGTGTCTGCAAATGTCATATCTGTTGTTTGGACAGAGGTTTCGCATTATGTAATGGAAGCACCCACAGGTAGAGATCCTGTTTTGTTTATTTGGTTTTTTGTTGTTGTTAGGTTTCTTTAATCTCCTTTTGTATTTTTGGTGCCCTACATATAGCATTACACAAGTGGTAGGTGTTTAGTGTTTGCTGACTGCAAAGAGCTACCAAGTAGGTGGATGGTCGCTCTAAAAAGCGGGTACACAGTATGATTAGCTGTCTCTGACTTGTTCTTGTAAGCCCATGGTCTCCTATAGTCAAACAAAGAGAATGTCATAATTATGTTGACTGTTTGATTTCAGACTTTAGATTTTTAGTATCTCATCAGTTCCCTTTTCCATGTCTCTTATCCTGTGTAATAGAAGGGCTCTCTCAAATTTGGATATCCTATTTTATAAAATAAGTATTTTAATATAATAAGCAAATGCCATTTAAAAATTGCTTCACCCAGGCTTCATAAAAAGTTCAGAATTGTATTAGTACATGGTAGTTATTTTTAAGGTGTTTAATAGTATCTGGAAACAATTCTGATTCTCAGACTTTCACTTTTCAAACTTCTGTAAGAAGCCTACAGTTGTTTCTTAAAAATAAATGCCTTGTCTCTTGTTTTTTTTAACATGTTACAATTGTATGAAAAGTACTTGATTATTAAGATGTGCCATATGACTCACTGTGCCAGTGTCAGTTAATTCACTTTTATCAACAGATATGGATATGTGTGTGCCACAAAAACTATGAAACTGAGGAAAATACTTGAAAAAGTTCCTGCTGCATCAGGATTTACATCTGAAGAAAAAGGTGACCCTTTTAATTTATAATATATGCATTGAAAATAACTTGAAAGTTTATCATCTAGTAATATGCTAAATTATTTCCTGAAATATACCAATTTAGTTTAGAGGATTAAATTTAAGTTAGATTCATTTGAGAGGGCTAGGAGTATACTCAGTGGTGGAGTATGTAAGAGGCCTTGGGTTTGATTCCCAGCACTGCAAAAATATGAAAAGTTTCTTTTCTATGTGACATGCATATTTCTCCTGATTTTGTGATTCTTCTGAAGTGATGTGATGTGGAAGAAGTCTTTAAGAGGCCAGCCGGCTGGCTCTACAGAAGATGACCAAGTAAAGAGCTGTCCTTGTCCCCAGCAGGGCTGTTCGGAGCTGCTTCTCTTCCTGTGATAGGGAGAGTCCCCAGCACTCAGTTTCTCACTGTGCTCCCTGTTGAAAGGGGCTGTGGAGCAGTTGGCCGGCACTTCTGTCTGCTCACAACTGAAGAATTTGCTCAGATTCAACTCCTGAATTAGTTTGTTAACAGTATACTATAACCAGCTGTGGCATTTATACACATGGCTATTACTAAAATAGAAGAAAAAATAGGGCATATACCAGGTATATTCTACTGAACCTCCCAAAAGACATAAAAATGATTTCACTGTGTGTGAATGAGTATATTCTGTTAAATAGGGCATCATGACAACAAATGGAAAAGTAATGTTTTATTATAAGTAATGTTTTATTATAAGTTTTCCCTTGTCAGGAGAACCTGAAATAACTAAACTTTTAATTAATATGTCTCTCTTAAAGAATAGAATGGTTTTTAAATTTTCTCTGTGATTCACTTAGGTTTTTTGTTGTTGATGTTTTATTTTCTCCTAGATCCTGAAGAATTTCTAAATATCCTGTTTCATGATATTTTAAGGGTTGAGCCATTGTTAAAAATAAGGTAGGTCTCAAGCTGTCTAGAAGCATTTCAGAAGCAGACCTTCTTTTACACTGCCATTGCCCAGTAGCTAAATGTTGCTAGCATAGATGTGGGTTTCACTAGCTGCTGTCCTCTCTCTGAGCTACACTTAACTTCCAGGGCACAAGTGAACCTGTTCTTTTGCCCTAATGACAGATGTGCCCACAATTCAATTACTTATGAAATTGCATGTTAATATTTTTGAAAGTTCAGTTAGTGAACTTTTAAAAGGAATCTTATTCTAATTGAATTTAAAAAAAGAAAAAAAAAACAGTGAGAGCATTGATTTTGGCTTCCCATAACTTACAGTTAGCCTTAAGTTAGCTCTTTCATTCTCAGTTTAGATCTTCCTTCCCCCCATGTTGAAAGAATACCTGAGTTTACTGCGATACAGTTCTTAGTGGGATGTTTGAAATGTCTGCTCTTCCCAGGTCATTTGAATGGTGGGCCCCTCTTGATTTCAGTCTTGGTTTCTCTGGTGAAAATCTTAGGAGTGTGCTGCCTACCTTCTTAAGAACCCACACTGATGAGTTCTCTTTCCTCTTGTGTCTAAGCAATGCAGTTTGAACCAGGGTTAAACTGATTTTGGAACAAGGAAAGTATCACAGTTAAAGTTTGGTTCTCTTCAGAAATCTCTAACTAGTGAACTGGCATGATGCATAATCATGGGGTGTACATACTTATTAGCAAGTCCAAGTTGGTAATCGCTTTCTATGTACCTAGAAAATCCAGAGAATTATCTACAAAGATTTAAGAAAAGAATTTATTATAGTCTAGCCATGTAAAAATTAATCATGGAAAATCAACAACATTTTTTTATTCCTTCAAGCATATAGAAAAAGGAATATTTTATGTTTTAGGAAAGAAAAATAAGCAATCATTGTTTTCAAAGATAGTGTTAAAAAAAGATTTACACTGAGCTACAAGGCAGATTTGATTAATTAGTGAGAAAGAGTAAATAATTAAATATGTGAATTTTTTGGTTTGTTTTATTCTTTTAATGATTTTTACATTCCAACTACAGTTTCCCCTCCTTCCTCTCTTCCTAGTCCTTCCCTCCCACCTTCTCCCTCTCCCCCCATCCTCTCCTCCTTCATTTCTATTCAGAAGAGGGCAGGCCTCCCATGGATATAAAGCAAACATGGATATAAAGCAAACATGAGGCTCAGAGTGTGAGGTGCGGTCCATCTTGGTACAGTTGTAGTGGGACTGTACCTCAGCCGGTGTCCCTGCTTCTGCAAGGGAAGCAGATGGAGATCAATGCAGGTGCTCAGCTCACTTTCTCCTTCTCATTCTGGGGCCCAAACTTGTGAAATTGTGCTGCCCACATTTAGGGTGGATCTTCTCACCTCAACCCAATCAGAAAACTTTTTTACAGTTATGTTTAGAGGTTTATCGCATAGATGATTCCAGATCCTGTCAAGTTAACAATATTAACATCACAAGACCACTTATTGTCAACTTGATACCCAAATATATCATTTAAAAATACATTTAATTTTATTTTTAATTGTGTGTATGAGTTCAGTGCCAACAGAAGCCAGAAGAGGATGTCAGATTTCCTTAAGCTGGAGTTACAGGCAGTTGTGAACTACCTGTTGTGGGTTCTGGGGACTGAGCTTTGGTCCTCTGTAAGGGCAGTGTGCTGTCTTAACCTCTTGATAGCTGAGACATTTCCTACCACTTTTGGTTATGAGCCTTAATTTTTTTTTTTAATGGCTGAACTCTCTCTCTCTCTTAGGCCCCAAGTTTTTTGAGACAGGATTTCTTTGTGTAACAGTCTTGGCTACTAGCTGTCCTGGAATTCACTTTGTAGACCAGACTGACTTCAAACTCACAGAGATCCGCTTGCCTCTGTCTCCTGAGTGCTCAGATTAAGTGCATGCTTCACCACACCCGACTTAAACATATGATTTTCAAGCTATTACTTTCTACTCTTTGTCCCGATAGGTTCTTGGTCATCTTTAATGCAGAATACATTCATTCTAACTTCAGAAGTTTCCATAATTTTTAATGTTCCAACACTGTTCAAAAATAGTCTTTTTAACCATGAGTTCCTGAAAAACCAATAAACAAGTTTTGTACTTCCAGCTTACAGTGGCACAGGGTTGGTTCTCATCCCAAAAGGAAGGAGTTGGGGGCAGAGCAAGCAAAGAAAGGCCAGACCACAGCAAGAGTCACAGAGCATCAAGGCAGGGCGACCCCGGCTCCTTGTGGCTGGGCAGTGACGTCACAAGCTGCACACACTCATCATGGAGCTGCCGGATTTTGGAATGAGTATAGGACCTCAGGACTCACCTATTATGGTCCAAACCACACCAATCCATGAATGTTTTTATATTCATGTTTGTAAAATGTCAATATCCACTTTTTAAAATTTACCAAATTTGTATTCTTGTGCCCTTGGATTGTCCATGGTGGAAAATACAACCCAACTAGCATGGCTTGGTGCAGTTTCACAACTTGGTTATGATTCTGTAGGTTTCCAAACTTCTAAAACACTAGCCGTGGGGTTATTTCATTATTTTTATCATTGCCTAAAATTTTCATAATCCCCATATTGTATATTGAGTATGTTTCCCCTGTACCTCCATCCCTCTGTCCCTTTCCATGTCTCCCTCCTCATAGTTCCTTTGTTCCTTAGGCAGCATCACGTCTACTTTCATGTCATATACAAATTAATGCTTTTTGTCTCTCTGTAGAAGATCAAGGAACCATAAATGAGAGAAAACATACATTGTTTCTCTTTATGGGACTGATTTAATTTGTTTAGTATGTTTATTTCCAGTTGTATCCATTTTTTATGACTGACAGACTTTGTTTCTTTATGGTTAAAAGGACTCCCCTGTGCATATGATTTGAGGAGTGATTTTTGTTGTTTTGTTTTTCGTTTTAGGTTTGGTTTGATTTTTTGAGACAGGTTTCTCTATATAGCCCTGACTGTCCTGAAACTTGCTTTGTAGACCAGGCTGGCCTCAAACTTACAGAGATCCACCTGCCTCTGTCTCCTGAGTGCTGGGATTAAAAGTGTGCACCACCATGCCTGGCCCTGGAAGTGAGGTTTGAGTGGCTGTTGTTCCTCCCAGTTTTCTGCTACAGTGTTAGGACACTATGTATCTCTTCCTCCATTAACTAGCTGCCATGCCTCCTCCTGGCCATCCTTGATTTTTCTGGGTGTGATTTTTTTTTTACCTCCATTATTTTTGTTTTCTCTTCTATGCTATTTTTAACTATGAATTTTTTTCTATGATTTTTTTCTATGACTAGTTCTATGATTTTTTGTAGTCATCAACAACCAATTAAAATATTATTCTAGAATAACTGCTAGTTTCTTGAATTATAATCTGTTCTTATTAGCTTTGAGTTCTCAAGAGTGCTGTAGCTAGTTACCAGATTTTATGTTTTGTAAATTCAGGACATAATTTGCTTGGGGCAGCTGAAGATCACAATAGGCTGCTCCCTGAATCACAGAAGTTTTGTGATTAAAAACTGCTGACAGTTTTTTTTTTTTCTAAAACTCTTGAAATCTAGACATACATTTAAATAATCTGATTCTAAACCCAGACACTTGGCTAAAAAAGATAAGCGGTAAGCTGAAAGATGAAAAACAATGTTCTCCGTAGAGTTAGTTTTAATGGTTACTAGTAAGCTGGTAAGGGAAGGGAGATGTTGGACCCTCATGTTTCACCGTGACCATTTACCTGGTGTTTGTCAAGTTGGTGGGTGAGCATCTAAAGAGCTGCTGGTAGCTGAAAGCCTAGAGGATAGTTGTTAGGGTTCCTGGGAGTCACACCTTGCCCTGTTTTGACTTGCTAGGAAAGTATCTTCCCTCCCTCCCTCCCTCCCTCCCTCCCTCCCTCCCTCCTCCCTCCCAGGGCTTTTATTTTAGGAAGTAAAGAAGTTTGATTTAGAAGGTCTAAGAGTCCGTCACTGAGGCATTGTAGCATTTGTTCTAGTCAGTAAAAGCGGTGCTCACAACTGTCTGTAACATCAGTTCCTGGTGACCTGACATCCGTGGTAAAACACCAGTGTACATAAAATAAAAATTATTTTTTTTAAAAAAAGTAGCTGCTACTTTCTAGATTTGGAGGGAGAAGAACTGAGTATTGTTCATATAGTGTTTCTTGTCTGGAATATTATTCTACATTTTTCTTGTGATGGCAAGAGAACTTTTGAATAATTTATAAAGAAGGCAGAAGAACTAATTTATGAGGTCTTCTGCATAAGCACACTTAACTATCTCATCCGAATCATTGTCTTTCACCTGGTGTGTGGACAATCCAAAGCTGGACACGAGCATTATGATGCTGTGTCCTCAGGTCTGTCAGATGCTTCATACTCGATTCAGGCATTTGGTAAATGGCTTATATGCATTTCTTCCTGTGTGCTCCCAGGTCAGCAGGTCAGAAAGTCCAAGACTGCGACTTCTATCAGATCTTTGTGGAAAAAAATGAGAAATTTGGAGTTCCTACAATTCAACAGTTACTAGAATGGTCTTTTATCAACAGCAACCTGAAATTTGCAGAGGTTAGTGATTCTAACTGGACTTGTACTGCTACTTTATTTTGTTTCTTATCAATGCTAGATATTAAACTCAGGCCTTTTGTACACACTGCCCCAAGTGCTGCCCCACTGAACCACACCTAGCTGTCACTGTGCTTTAACCAAGAATAGTTTGAAGAAATAGTTAAGAAGACACTTTTTTTTAAAAAAAAAAAAGTTATTCTAACTTTGTTTTTTTAAAGATAGCTGCGCTTAGCTTAAGTTGGAATGTTTTAGATTTGGGTTGCAAAGGGAACAAAAGCTAATTTTTAAGTTTAAAGTAGCTTAATGCAAAGATATGTGTGCATACATGTTTATGTTTTCAGTTGTCATTTTTCCCATGCATAGTATCTAAACATGTCAAAGGTAATGTTATTTTTTCTCCCTCTGCTAAGAGATAAAATACCAATAAATTCTTGTGTATGGGTTTGCTAATCTTCTCTTTGACTGTCAGAATGTGTGATCTCTGCAGTGCATGCCGTGGTCTGTTTTATCATGTTCATCTCCGGGGAAGTCTGGAAAATCTGTAGCTTATTGCTGCTCTGCATCCACACTGCACATTCACAAGTGGGCTCTGCTTCATGGGCCAACAGCCCTGCTGAAACCACTACTGGGTTTGACAGTTATGACTATTTCAGTTTCATAGGGAAACTCGTTAGTACAGGGGTTAGGACTCAAGGCTTTGGACATGCTAAGTAAGCGCTATATTGAGCTAAGTCCCCAGCTCCTTAGGACTTTGGTTTCTAAAACTATGTGTCTTTTTTTTTAGGCACCATCATGCTTGATTATTCAGATGCCTCGGTTTGGAAAAGACTTCAAAATGTTCGAAAAAATTTTCCCTTCTCTAGAATTAAATATAACGGATTTGCTTGAAGACAGTAAGTATATAGTCCGTTCTTTGATTTTTGTTTTGTTTTGTTTTGTTTTAGAAATAGTTGGCCTGGACTTTTCATTAGTTATGAGTATAGTACTTCTGACAGGTAATTCAGTAGTTGAAGAGCTTAGACATACTAACTTAATAATTTGACTGCTACAATTTATTCTAAAAAAAAAAGAGGTAAAAATAAATAATTTAAATGCAAATTTACTTACTATCTGACAAGAAATTAGAGACAAGAAATGTTAATAAGGGGGAAGTGGTTAATTGGATTATATGTCTAAACAATAGACCTACGTGAAAACAGTGTGTGGTAGTTATAGTGGAAGGGAAAGCATCGAGAGGCTAGATGAGAGAAGCTTGAGACACACGTGTACCTGGGTGCACATACTTATATAAATATTCAGACGTAAAATTGTTACAGAAAGTTCATAATGGCAGTGATTGTTACTTACTGACATAAGATCATATGTGCTATTAGTCTTCAATACTTACTTTATATCTTTGAACATTTCATGACCAGAAAAACAATTCTAGAATAGGTTAACAAAAATGGTTATATGAAAAAAAAGTCCTTAAAAATACTTCAGATACAAAAAAAAATCCAAATGAAATTTTAAGAGGGTCAGAGAGGACTAGGCCTTTCTTCTCCCCAACCCCCAAGCATTCTTGTTTTCAAAGTATAGCTTTTATTTTTAAGGACAGAATGTCGTTTTTAAAAAGGCTTCTTCCTTCCCTCTTTGCTTAGCTCCCAGGGAGTGTCGCATCTGTGGAGGACTTGCGATGTTTGAGTGTAGAGATTGCTATGAAGACCCCGACATCACAGCAGGGAAGATCAAGCAGTTCTGTAAGACCTGCTGCACTCAGGTAATCCACACTCACTGCACCAGTCAGAGTCAAAGGGCATTTTAAACATTCACAGTAAATGTTATTGCTCATGTCTCTTCTGCCGGTGTGTGTGTGTGTGTGTGTGTGTGTGTGTGTGTGTGTGTGTGTAGAACTTGGCTGGGCTGGTCAATGAAAGTGATTAGAGTCTGCCCTTGAAACATGGCATTTAGCTCACTTGTGGTATTTTCTTCATGGTCCATTTTAGGTTCACCTCCATCCGAAGAGAATGAATCATACCTATCACCCAGTATCACTTCCCAAAAACTTGCCTGACTGGGACTGGAGACACGGCTGCATCCCCTGCCAGAAGATGGAGTTATTTGCTGTTCTCTGCATAGAAACGAGCCACTATGTTGCTTTTGTGAAGTATGGGAAGGATGATTCAGCCTGGCTCTTCTTTGACAGCATGGCTGATCGAGATGGTATTTAAAACTTGTCTTTTGGAGGGAGATGCTTCCTAGTGAGAGCACGTGTTTGTGGTAATAGGGTATTTTGTGAGCAGATTCTTGAAAGGATACCACAGTGGGACAGACTTCAATCTTCAAAGGGTATTACTAATTCTGCTCCTCAAACTAAGGAGCAATAATGTTGTGCCATCTTGGTCCTTACATGGATTTGTTAAAGAATCCTAGCCATAATCCCAGACTTGGGAAGTAGAGGATTGTGAATCAGAGGTCAGTTTGTATTGCATAGTGAGAACCTGTTTCAATTTGTCCAACCTCAAAAGAAAACAAAGATCCTAAAATTTATTTAGAGCTGATTTTACCATCTTCTTCCTTGCATTTTTATATACAGTAGAGTAGCCATTTATTGAGGACAGAAATGCCAAACTCTGTGGGAATACTTAGGTCATGGAAATCATGCCTGTTTTTCTATTGTCTAAGCTAACGTTAAAGGTGGTGAAGGTTGCATGGTTTGTATTTACCTCAGTCTTCCTGATCTCATGCGTTTTATTTCAGGAAGAAACCTTTTCTCATTGAGATGTTTTTAGGAAGCTTAGTCATTACTTAGTACACACTTGAGTGACAGGGGTCTTGGTAGTAAGGTACTTGTCACAGTACCTGTCCATACCCCCTTTACTCTACAGCTCTTCTTCCAAGCCCTAGTTCCCCAGGTCTTCAGGTGTGACACTTTAATAACCAGAGGCACCGAGTGATGGCTTCTTGACCAGAGGCCCAAGCTGTAGACCAACAGTTCTTCATTTCTGCATAGCTCTGATGCCTGAGGGCACAGCCCACCCCTGTGTGCGCTTCACTCAGCATTAGCAGCATAACTTTTGGGAACGCACCTTTTAGAGCAAATCTGATCATCAGAGCACATGCGCGTTCTGATGATTAGTATCTAAAACAGCCGTGCTAGAGGTATGCAAGTATGTTCTTAAAACATAAGGAAACAGTAGCGCTCACAATTGGCTTCTTGTGGAAAAGTGTCAGGCTGCTAGTGTCTGGGAAGGACAGAAAAGTCTGAGGGGCCTAGAGCAGCAGCCTGCAAATCGGGACTGCAGCTTTTCCTAAGTGCATGTCCTTTTCCAGGTTTTTTTTTTTTTCACTTTTCTCTGCTTGAACCCTCTCAGAAGCCAATAAAAGGAGACCGTAATTCTAGAAACTGAAAGTCAAACAAAGTTTTGTTGTTTGTTTTGTTTTGTTTTGTTTTTGATTCTGGGAGTCAGTCTTCACTAAATTCTAGGATAGTAAAATTGTTCTGGTGGGACAGGCTGCCAAGAGGACTTAGAAGTTTGCTGCCCTAATGAGAGCTCTCTCTCTCTCCCTAGGGGGTCAGAATGGCTTCAACATTCCACAAGTGACACCCTGCCCTGAAGTGGGAGAGTACTTGAAGATGTCTCTGGAGGAGCTGCACTCCTTGGATTCCAGAAGGATTCGAGGCTGTGCACGCAGACTTCTTTGTGATGCATACATGTGCATGTACCAGAGTCCAACCATGAGCTTGTACAAATAACATGTCATCTGAAAGGGGCAGAGGCCAAGCACAAAGCTTAACACCATGTGTCTTCCAGCTGGCACCCATTGCGGGCAATGGGTGTCTTTTTTGTTGATGGTCCTTTAGCAAAGGATTCCTGTGTTTTTAAACAAATTATTTTTGTGTTCTTGAAGTATTTAATAAGCATTTTGCACTCTAGGAAGTATGTTTTGTTGGTTTTTTAAAAATTTTAATGAAGTTTAGTTTAAATTAAGTTTTGTTTTTTTTTAAGTTTATTGAGTTTATTGCATTGATAATATAATATTTTTGGAAAGATACAATTTTAATTGTTACGTCTAAAATCTTTTAGTCCATTGAGGATGTAAGTAAATATTTCTTCTTATGGACCAAGGATATTAAATCGTTTTTCTTTTTTGAGTGCCTTGAGGAAGAAATAATATGGTTTTACTGAGTCTGCTGGTGGGTGGCCTTAAATGGCATAACTTTATCCTCAAGAGTACCGCAGGGTCCTGGCCACTCTCCTGGCAGTGCTGACAGTTTAATGTCATCAGAATTGAGTTCTCCTTTTCTTCCCAACGGATTTGAGGGAGAAGGGCTGTTGGTGTAGAGATGGTCCTTCCAGGCACCGTAGGACTCTGCACAGTTCTCTTGTGCTTTTAAATACTGTTTATGTTCACTAATTATTCATTCTAAAGGGATTATGCAGGAGATGCAACTGTCTTTGCTTTTATATTATGAAATAGCCTTGTATTGTGGGATGTTAACTCTGGAGAGTCGCCCTCATACTCAAAGTATTCATTAAAAAAAATCCCCTGATACTCCCTAGGGGGTGTGTGGCTATTATCAGGCTGACCCAAAGAAACACATTTTGTATTCCATTTCCTTTACTGGTATCTTGTTAAAATTTTTTTGCCTGAAGAATATTGTTTTGTTTATGAAAACATGAATAACATTGTATAAAACAGTCCCTTTCTGTCCGAATGCTCCAATGTAGCCTTAATTTTGTTAGAGACGATTGAGGTGCTGCTATGGAAATAAATGTACCATTACTATTTCTGTATCAGTAAAACGCAGTTTTATGGTTCTTTCTCTTTGAAAAAAAATTTCCGCCTCCTCCCAGCCTCCCATTT